CAGGATATGCTAAACAGGCTGTGCAATGGGCGATATGTGATTGGCTAACAGAAATGCCAAAGGCCCACGTCATTTCGGAGAAACGGTGGTGCAGTAGGAAAGCGAAACTGAACCAAGACATTGCCCTAATTTTGATGCTTCCCTTCACACTTTTATATGGTAAGCTTTTAAAGAAACGTGACATGAATTGAATCCCCAGCGGATTGTATAGCTATACAACTGTCAATTTGACATGGAGCAGTCAAAAGAGCTTAGCATTTTTTGAGGGAAGAGTTAGAGATGGAAATACGGTTTTCAGATATGTCTAAGTCTAGATGGAAGATATGTTGAGAAAAAATAGCTTCACATTGAATTGTCCATTAAAGTTTTCTATAATTTTGTAGCACTACTACTTTCTCTCATGTATTGTGTATCTCTATGTAAATGGCATAATTGGAGTATGGAATTTTAAGTCCTAGAAAAAATATCTTTTCTATGTCATTATAAGTTCTTTCATTTTGGGGAATTTGTATTGTTTTTAATAAAAAATATAAGTAAATTTAAAGGTTTCTAAGCTAAGAATGAATGCTAACTATGGGGTAAGAACATAAATTCCACAACTAGCTACTTTTGGTTTGCAGTTCTGGAGAGAAAATGGGATCCCCCAACCTGGCTGACTAGATCTAGCCTTGGCACAGTGAGGAGACAATTATCAAAGTGCTGTGGTCCTCCAAATCCATGATGGGGAGCATTGACTTGTACCTATAGAAACAAGATACTGTATACTGAAACAAATAAACCCCCCACAGTTCCATATGCGGAAATGCTTGCCCCGAAGCTCACTTACGTTGATTCCGTAGTGCTCAGTGACGCCTCGCCCGTGCTCTCCTAGAACTCCAAATGAAAGGCTTTCTTCCAGAAAAATTCTTGCTTTATACTTATATTTTAACTTAACCTAAAGGTAAAATAAAATAGAACTTTAGAATACTGACTAATAAGATATAATACATCTTAAAAAAAACACAAATATTTAAAAGAGAAAAAAAACGTACTTAAATGCGCAAAAGAGTGTAACTTGGAGAAATACTCTAGATGAAGTAATTAGGGAAGAAAATAAATAAAAAGCATCTGTGGTAGTTACATAATCTCCTGTCAAGTCGAGGGTATGAAGAATGAAGGAGTGAGTTTAACCTGCCAATCAGGTCACTGCTTGATGACCTCATTTGGAAGTACAGAGATAAACAGCTCACTGGAGGCTGGTCTCTCTCTCTCTCTCTGCCTTGGTCTTCCTGTTGACAAGCCAGATGGAGCTACACTGATGGCAGCCAGAGCCCTGAAGATGCATCTACTGCCATTGGACCCATAAGACTTTCCACCCATAGGCCTGTGATCTTCCTGCATTTGGCATCATTGCATGTGTTTTGTGAGTCTGAAGAGGACTTATAGATTGGTGTGTTTGATCAATTTCAGACTGAAGTCATTGGTGGAATTCTTCTGATTTTTGCCATCACAAGCTGTAATTGTTGGTGCATAAATCTGAGCAATAGTTGTATTGCTTGGATTTCCTCATGAGGATAGACATTATCCTATCACAGACAGCACTGTACTTCAAGATAGAACTTGAAATGTCCTGTTTGACGGTGAATGCAACTCCATTCCTCGATTGACTGTGTCATTCCAAACATAAAAAGGCCATGCTTTTTTTATTCTAAATGGCCAATACCAGTTCATTTCACCCACTTTTCTGTTGTCTGTACTCCAGGGAGGGGGTTATACGTAGATCCTTTTAATCGGTTCTCCCTTTCTACCCCACCTTTCCTCCACCCTCCCAGTATCGCCACTCTCACCACTGGTCCTGAAGGAAGTATCCGTCCTGGGTTCCCTGTGTTTCTAGTTCCTATCTGTACCAGTGTACATCCTCTGGTCTAGCTGGATTTGTAAGGTAGAACTGGGATCATGACAGTCGGGGAGAGGAAACATTTAAGAACTAGAGGAAAGTAGTATGTTTCATTGTTGCTACACTGCACCCTGACTGACTTGTCTCCTCCCCGTGACCCTTCTATAAGGGAATGTCCAGTTGTCTACAGATGGGCTTTGGGTCCCCACTCCGCACTCCCCCTCATTCTCTCTCTCTCTTTTTTTTAAAGCAATCTGGGTGTTTATTTGAAAGTTCAAATAAACAAAAATGCATTTCTGAGCCCCACTCTACTGGGGGGTCCGGGGCACTCACTGACCTCCCTAGAGTGCTCCCTGACCTGGCCAATCAGAAGTTTCTAACTGGAAATAGCTTTGTCCTCCACCAGCCCCCGGGTGTAAACAGGGTGACAAATGTGGTGCCCCCTCCAGGCTGCGGGGAAAGAGGCCCAAGGTCAAGGCAGTGGACACTGAGGCCTTTGTGTGTGCACCAGGTCTTAAGACTAACTCTAACCTGCTTCTCCCCCTCATTCTCAATGATATGATTTCTTTGTTTTTTGATGCCTGATACCTGATCCCTTCGGCACCTCGTGATCACACAGGCTGGTGTGCTTCTTCCATGTGGGCTTTGTTGCTTCTGAGCTACACGGTCACTTGTTTACCTTCAAGCCTTTAGGACCCCAGACACTATATTATCTTTTGATAGCTGGGCTCCTTCAGGTTTCTTCAGCACATTTGCTTATGCACCCGCTTTGTTTTCAGCGATCGTGTTGGGAAAGTGAGCATCATGGAATGTCACAAACTTCAAATTATTAATTGATGTTAGCATCCTTTTCTATTCATTTTGAGTTATGCTCCATCAACAAATGAAGACCCTTAAAGCTGTACTCCTACAGGCTTCAAACTATTTGCAACATTATGGTCTACTCCATTTTGAAAAGGCAACTCTTCCTCAGTCATATTTTGAGTGTGCCTTCTGACCTAAGGGGCTTATCTTCTGACACCATCTCTGACCATGCCCTGCTTCTATTCATGAGGTTTCAGTAACTGACAATATGTCCATGGTTTCCAGTGTCTAATTCCTTGGAGTAGGATCATCTTCCTACTGTATCGCCTATTCTTAGCTTGAAATGCCTGCTGAAACCAGTTCACTTTGGGTGACCCTGCTGGTATTTGAAATACCAGTGACATAGCTTTCACCATCATAGCAACACACAGGCCACCACAGCACAAAAAAATGACAAGGAAGTGGGGGACAACAAGTTTATTGATGTTAATGATATTTTTGGAGCTGTACAATTACAGTCAGCCTCTTTTTTTGAGTTGTTTCTCGTCTGATACCATAAAACTTCTAAGGTTCCCATCAAATCTTTGGAGTTGTTGTGTGTGCTAATTTGATCCTCTATAGTACTTGAGGGAGCACACCAGTCAAGAAAGACATGTTCTACTTCTTAAAGTAAATGAGGAACCTTTTTGAGGTTTTGGGAATTTCCTGTATCTTGACTTTGATAGTAGTGAGTCAGAACAGTTCTTTAAAGGTCAGCACTGGCATTTAATATTAATCTATTTCCATGGAATTATCAGAAAATGCTATCATTATCTCAAAACTCACTTCTATGGAGTCAATTCTGATTAAAACCCTACAGGACAAGATGGAACTATCCCTGAGAGTTTCCAAGACTGTATTGGTATATAGGAATAGAAAGTCCCATTTTTCTCCCACAGAGCAGCTGGTGGATTCGAACTGCTGACCATGTGTTTAACAGCAATTCATTATGCCATCAGGGCTCCTTCAGAAAATGGTATTATTATGCAAATTATATAATATACAGCTATTATGTATTACAAGTGGTAGGAAACATACTTATAAAATAGCTTGGATACTAAAATAGCACATAAATATGCTTGCTTACCAATTCTGGAAGAGGACAGATAGCTCCAGTATTCATATACAACCCTTCCACTACAATGAATCGTCGAGTTACACGAGCCTTGCGAGGATTCTTTAAAAGAAACAAATGCAGATATCTTAAATATCAGTAACTCAAAACCTACTACATGTTCCTTAGCAATTTAATTGTATTAAAATTTATTTATCCAAACATAATCTAAATAATTTAACATCCAGGATTTCAGATTCTGCTATTTTGAGATTAAAATAGTGCACTCCTTTTCTCAGACACACTTTTAAGTCTACAAAATTTAGTAGGTGAACCCCTGACAAAAACAAAAACTACTCAGGTACCGTGAGAGGATTCAAAGACAAACCAAACCTTGAACCAAAGAATGTGATTATCTGTAAAGTGTTAACATAATGCCTGATTACTTTCTAGGGATACAGATCAAAGGGCACGGATTTTAAAGGATCTTGAAATACTGGTGCTGTCAGGTTTAAACGCACCTGCCATTCAAGGTAGAATGATGAGGCTTTTTGTTCCTAATGTATCTGGTAATTTAACCTCTAAAAATTCTGCGCCAATCTGAGTTCTTCCTAGTATCATAGGGCTGTGTTTTTGTTTACTATACCTGCATTGACCGTTACTATTGTTGTTGTTTATAATGCTCCCTACTTTGACAGGCAAAAAATCCCTACCTTACGTTCCTTAATCATTAATGAGGTCAAGCTATTTTTTCATTTGTTCATATTGAATTGTGCTTTTTCTATGAACCACTATTCATTAAACTGAAAAACAGACAAAAACAAACTCACTGCCACCGAGTCGATGCCAACTCCTAGCGATCGCGTAGGACAGGGCAGAACTGTCTCTGAGTTTCTGAGTCTGCAACTGTTCATGGGAGTTGAAAGCTCGGTTTCTTTCCCAGCTAGTGGTATGACCTATTGACCCTGAGGATCCCAGCCTAATGTTTAACTGTTCATTACTGGCCGCCTAATGTTCTATGACAATCTCAGTTTTTGTTTTTTTTGTATGTTTAATACATTCTTCGTGTATTAAGAATAGTAAACATTGCAAAAACCCTTCTCTAGCAAAGGAATTACTATGCAACATCAGAACTGTGTAAAAGGAGGTGAAGACACGTGCATGAGCCATTGGGAAGTTGGCAAAGCCAGCTCACTCTAAACCAGGACCGAAGTCCAATGCTCTAATTCACCTTCAAATGAATGCTAAGCATCTAGGTAGAAAACATCCCAACAGTAACAATCATTAAAACTTTTTATTTATGTGAAAAAGCAGGACAACTGTATTTCTAAAAATAATTTGTAGATTAGATAGTGAACCACTCACAGTAAGACAAGGTATGTCGATTAGTGAAAAAGTAAAAATTAAAGTAGAAATACATTTCAAAACATACACATACAAAGCTTAAATGTTTCAAAATATATATAATACTAATTTGACAAAATAAACTTTAAAGTTGACATGTTCATTGGTCATACTTTTCAGTAGCATTTTACTCTTTAATTAAAACAAGACACAACTTTTTATAATTTGTAGGGGGAAAAATTAACCAAGAGAGCAATTTTTAGGTTTTTACTAGAGAATTTTCTAAATAGTTTAAGTATCCCAGAATCTAAGTAAAAAATGGTGCTCCTTTTCTACATATATTATGTGTACTGATGTGTGAATATTAAAGAAAGGTTGAATTTTGATTGACCAAAACAAAGATGGCAGTTCTAAAAGAAAAATACAAATATTTGGAAAATGAAAATGAATAAGAAAGTATGGAATGTGGTAAGCATTTTTATGTTATTCTAGTTCTGAAGGGGTTACATCTGGAAAAGTCCACTCAAAAGTGGTGTTTGACTGCTATAGGTAAGAGCCCGCAACACAGGGGACCCGGGACAGATAAACCCCTCAGGGCCAACAATGAGAGTAGAGACACCAGGAGTATTAGGGGAGGGTTGGGGGAGAAAGGAGGAACGGTTCACAAGATCAACCCAGAACCCCCTCCCATGGGGACAAAAAATGGAAAGTGGGTGAGGGGCGATAGAGGACAAAGTAAAATATGGAAATAATAATCTACAACTTATCAAGGATTTGTGAGGGAAGGAGGGAGGGAGGGAGGGGGGAAATGGGGCGCTAATATCAGGGGCTCAAGTGGGAAGAGAATGCTTTGAAAATGATGGTGGCATATGTGCAAATGTGCTTGACACACTGGATGAATGTATGGATTATGATAAGAGATGTAAGAACCCCCAATAAAAGTTTTTGATTTTTTTAAAGTGGTGTTTGAGACAAGATTGCTGGCACCAGAGGCCCAGTAAGAACTACTGGGAATAGAGTGAGCTGCACAACTTTGGAAGTTCTCACTCTTTTTCCAGTCATGTCACCAGAAGAAAATCAACTTTATTTCTAATGAATGATGCTTAACATACATTTCCTGTCATTCTCTCTAATCGAAACCCTAAGAAGCCAGCTCCAACCCCCCACAACAGGAGCTAGGTAGGCTCCTGAGAAGAACGATGGAAAACAGAGCTGCAGGAGGATGTAAAGGAACCAAGTCCGGGGCACAGCCGTTTCCCTTAAGCATCATCACTTGCTTAGGCCTCAAGGGTAGAAGTGAAGAATTTTCGCTTTGTTTCTTAAGTTTAGATCTGTTACCACACTTTCCTCCAGTTAATGTCTGCTTATACTGCTATGAACATGCCTATACAGCTTCAATGAATGTTGGTATTATTACTATATAGTTGAGGGTTTTTATCTCCCCCATGCCCCGGTGCATACTATTATTTTTCCTCTCTTAAAAACCAGCCTGGATTATCTTCACCTGAATTTGTCACATGCAATTATGACAACGACAAGGCAATTACCATTAGACTTGGCTTCCCAAAACTAAGCATATTTAATAAGCAGGAACACCTTTACTTAAGATGTAAATGTGATCCACTGGCAAGGTTTCATAACAAATTACCGTTTCATATATAATTTAGCTTGTTAGAAAGTACAAAAGAACTGAATAATCTTCTTCAAAAGAATCATACCTTTTGATCCTCGATCTCTTGTTCTTTTAGCAGTCGCTCCAGGTCCACCACATCATTATGTTTGAACAACTTAATGTCACTCCGGGACGCCTGTAATCCTTTCTGAATCGCAAAGCAGGCCATGGAATCTCTGTCAGAAAGACAAGTGCACACTGCATTTTAAAAAGCCTTCTCAAAAACTCTCACTTATGACTCAGAGCAACCCGAGAGGGCAGAGCAGAACTGCACCCTGGGGGTTGCCAAGGCTGAGCATCTTTACAGGAGCAGAACACCTCATTTTTCTCCCGGTGCTGCTGGGGGTTTCGAACTGCTGACCTTGTGTGTTAATACAGCTCAATCCATAACCTACGGCATGCCACTAGGGCATCGTAAAAGTACTCAGAAAAGGAGCACTTGCTTTTAAAAACAGATTGAGCTCCAATTTTGTTAACTTAAATATGTTTGATCATTTATATATCATTATTCATACTACATTCTGCAAGTCCTTTCATATAACAACCATATTTAATTTTTTCAAAAACGTGTATTTTTACCTCTGAAATCAGCTTGATGGCACGTCAAGCTTACTTTAGCGCTCTTTTCTCTCTTATAGGCATACATGAAATCACAGTGCTTCTCGCCATCAAGAGCCATCTTTGACTGGAGTGCTACATTGTTCCCTTGCCATGACTTTGTCATGAGAGGCAATACTGAACCACTGACTCTACAACCCAAGGGAGAATTCTGTGGGTCTTGAAGATTAAACTGCAGTAAGATTGTCTATACTGGGTACATGAGGTGGAAGATTTTTTATTTTGTTTTGTTTTTTTACACATAGCAACAATTGTAAGGATGGTGCAGGACCAGACAGTGTTTCCTTACGTTGCTATGAGTCAGAACCAATTCGAGGGCACCTAACAACATTTTAAAAATGCATCTTTTAAAAGTACACGTAGTAGACCTAAAAGATAGAGGAGATATACTTTTCCTTATTCGTTCTACTTGATACAACGATAAAAGCTTTACTATTATTTATAAAACAAACACAAGCACATGCTAAAAGGTGGAAAGAAGGTAGACTATCTAGGTACCTTGGGACCTGAGGAACAAGAAGAGATTGCCCAATGTAATACGCTATTTGATTTAACTGCTGTTTCAATGGGCACTGAGGTGGACCCAAGTAAAATGAAAACCTGGAGAATTTGATCTAATGTGGCTTCTTGATCCCAGTGTGAACACGTTTGCTTTCTTCATGCTGAGGAACAATCCACACTGAAGGCGGATAGCCTGTGATGCTCATTCGTAAGAGCTTCAAGTTCTCTTCGCTTTCAGCAAACAAGGCTGTGTCATGGGCATGTTGCAGGTTATTAATGAGTCCACCTCCAATCTTTATGCAATGTTTTCATTACAAAGTTCAGCTTCTAAGATTATTTGCTCAGCATACAGAATGAATAAGCATTGTGAAAAGAAGAACTCTTGACACTCAACCTTTCATGATTTTACACCATGTAGTAGGCTCTTGCCCTGTTCAAATAATGGTTTCTTGGCTGTATGTACAGGTTGCACATGAGCACAATTAAATGTTGCACAATTTCTATTCTTTGCAATGTTATCCTATAATTTGTTATAATCTACCCAGCCAAATAACTTTGGGTAGTCAATGACATACACGTAAACATCGTTCTTGTATTCTTTGCCTTCAGCAAAACACATCTTTACTGGAGGGCAAGAGAAAGTGACTATGCTTCAGTTAATGGGTAAACAGAGTCGGGGAGCATGCCACTGGAAAAACCGACCAACATTAAGTAGAGAGACCACCAATGGGAAAATAAGCTCAGTATCATGTACATAACTGAACACTTTTGACCTAGTTTGTACTCAACCTTCAGTGATCCAGACTGTGCACTATAGACAACCAGGACTTCAGACCCTGTCCTTGAGACGTCCACAACATCCCTCAGAGACCACACCAGAGGGATTTGATTTGGAACTCCCACTAAGTGAACTGTACTTTATCTTAATAAACACCCAGGTAGCAGATTAAAGAATCTGAAATACTTCCATGTACCTAAGGCTGAAATAACTCTCTTTGACTTTGTGCAAGAACATTAATGAAATTCTTGCTCTATCTCTATATAAGTGTCCAATCACCTAAGGTATTAATCATACAAACCAAGACTCCATGAATTTTGGACTAAAAAAACTGTCCTACACATGTATGCTTTTTCTTTCCTCTGTAGTATTTAAATTCGACACCACTGGATAAATCAAAGTTTTTGTTAGGAGCCATCCAGTCGATTCCAACCTAACCTGATGCCCAACAGAGCAAGCCATTGCTCTTATCATTAATCTCATTCTTGCAGTCACTGTGTCAATCCATCCCCCCGAGGGCTCCCCTACTTGACCAAGCATGATGTCCTTCTCCAAGCACTGGTCTCTCCAGTACTTCATGCCCAAACTAGGTAAGACCAGGTCTCCTCATCCTTGTCTCCAAGAAGCACTTTGGAGCCAAACTTCTGAGACTGATTTGTTGGTTCAGAAATCCAATGTGCTTTCAACATTCCTCTCCAACACCACAATTAAAATGCAGCAACTCTTCTTAGATCTTTCTTATTCAACGTCTAACTTTCACATGCATATGAGGCAACTGAAAATACCAAGGCTTGGGTGAGGCGCACTCTAGTCCTCAAAGTAACATTCTTGTTTTTCAACACTCTAAAGAGGTCTTGTGCAGTAAACTCATCAAATGCAACGCGTCTTTTGATTTCTTGATTGTTGCTTCCATGAGCATCAACTATGGATCCAGGTGAAACAAAATCCTTGACAACTTCAACCTTTTCTCCATTTCGCATGATGTTGCTTGTTGGTTCTGTTGGGAGAATTTTTGGTCTTCTTTACATTGAGTTGCCATCCACAATGAAGGCTGTAATCCTTAATCTTCATCAGCATGGGCTTTAAATCGTCCTTATGTTCAGCAAGCAAAGTTGTGTCATTTGCATATCACAGGTTGTTAATAAATCTTCCTCCAATCCTGATGCTGCATTCTTCACATAATTCTGCTCTGATAATTTGCTCAGCATACAGTTTGAACAAGTATGTTAGGAGGATTCAGTCTGACACACGCCTTTGATTTTAAACCATACAATATTCCCTTGTTCTGTTGTCACAACTGCCCTTTTTTAAAAAATATTTTCTGCTGTGTTTTCTTTCTTTCTCTTTTTAAATTATTTTATTGGGGGCTAGTACAACTCTTATCACAATCCATACATACATCAATACATCCATTGTGTCAAGCACATTTGTACATTTGTTGCCATCATCATTCTCAAAACATTTGCTTT